AGGTTCCAGGGATCTTGAGCAGAACACCTTTGCGAGAAATTTATTCTGTTTACATGTTTGCTTGTTTAGAGAGAGTGTGCATGCCACAGTGAGTGTGTGGTAGGTAGAGGATGCTTTCAGGAATTGGTTCTGCCCTCCACCATGCCCTCAGTCTTGGAACCAAATATCTTTATGCACAGAGCCAGGTACCAACCCCTTACTACAGCTGTTTATCTAAAAACTTGATAAGCATTAAATACTATATGGTTCGGGAAGGCCTGATGTGTTCAGATTGATCTGAAGTGTATATAAATTCTGGTCTATAATCATGAAGAAAGGATTAGGTTTGTCAAGGTATCAATAACTGATCCAACCAAAACAGGATAGGTAGTGACATAAGGAACAAAGGGAGACTAATATTTTCTAGATATGCCTCACTTTATTTTTTTAAAAGAGAGTATCTTATTATTTGTAAGATAAAGTTATTAATTTTAAATGTTAATGAAGGTTAAAATATTTAATGATTTGAATTTAATAGATTTTGAAACATGATACATTATTAATATATAAAGCACACTGATTTATCAGATATAGAAATTATATATTACACCTAGATGATGAGATTACAGGTTTATTTAATGTTCTTGTTTTGACTTGCTAGCATTTGTTTCTTATGCCACATATAAGACAAACATATATGTATATACAAACATATATAAAAATAATAATAGGAAAATATTTTAAACGAAAAAGTAACAAGAAGGCTGTGTATGGTGGCATGGTGGCACACACCTCTAATCTCACCACTTTGGAGGCATAGGCCTCCATGTGTTTCATGCAAGCCTGGTCCACACAGTGAGTCTGAGATCAGACAAGTCTATATAGTGCCTCCTGTGCCTCCCTCCAAAAAAAGGAACTAAAGCATAGCAACTAAAAACAGTAATGCCCCTACCCCAAAAAAAAAAAAAAAAAAATCAGAGAACAAAAATTCTACAAAGAAGAAATACAAAGTGCTAATGGATATAGACAAATGTTCATCTTATCTGGATATTGGGAAATTGCTAATTATGTATGTTTATTAAATTTCCAAGTGTTGCTTAATTATTCAAATCAATATTAGAAAGCCAATTTACTGGCCTGATTGCAAACATAACTCTGTTCTTTTCTGAAGCCTCTCTGAAAAAAACAGTAAAAGAATGAGAAGGACAGAAGCCTGTCAAGCTGTAGAAATATGACAATAAATAAAAGATGTCACAAAGTTTAGAAGTCTGAAAAGCATATATAGTTAAAATGAATTATCCAAAATAAATCAAAAACTGCTATGAATCATAAGGAAAAGGGCCAGAGTATTCCTTAAAGTCTTAGTGCAGGCGTGAACACACTGAAAACAAATCACAAACGAATGCCCATCTCCCAGTAGCTTTCTGGAAGTGGCCAAAGTGTGTGTGTGTGTGTGTGTGTGTATATATATATATAAAAAAAAACACACCAAAACCAAGCTGCCCTTGTCTCTCTGTCTCCATCTAGTGGTGAAGACTGGAGGTTTACTTCCAGAAATGTGGAAAAAGTGACTGCTGGCTGGCGAGATGCTCAGTGAGTACAACACTTGATCTTTAGCATCCATGTACCAGGAATATGAGCCTGGTTAGGAATAGAGGATAGGAAAGAGAGAGAGACAGAGACAGAGAGAACATAAAAGAGGGAGCCAATATTGGTTTGAAGATAAAATTGAACACAAAGAAAGGTCGAGAGAACTATAAGACTGCTCCCAACTAACAAGTTGAGCTTACGTGGAAAGGCTATCATAAATGCCCTTCCCGGAGAGTGAGATCAACAACTAACTTCTCCATGGAGCCCTCAACTAATGCCTGTTGAAAACAGGATCAAACACCCATACATAAACACTGATTCGAACTAGAACCCAGATGCAGATGGAGAGGACAAGACCATGCTGCAGAAACACATAGAGACAGCTTACCTGAACAAGGAGGAGCTAACGGCCACTAGACTGATAGCTGGGAAGCCAGCATGGGACTGACTCAGGCCCCCCTGATTATGGGTCTCAGCCAGAAGGACTGAGCAGTCAAAGAGACTTCAGACACTGGAGCCAGGATGTATCCCTGGTTCACAAAAGGACTTTGCGAACACATCCCCCATGGAGGGATAACTGCCTTAATCTAGAGACAGGAGAGAAGCCCTAGTCCCTACTTCACAGGACCTGTCAGATCTACATGACCCCAACTGGATGGCATTCCCCTACATATGGAATTGGGGTGGGGGGATGGGAGGGGAGGGTGTTTAGAGTGCATGTGAAAGGGCAGAGAGGGTAAAAAGGGAGGGAAAGAGGGAGGGAGGGCTGGGGGGGAGGGAGGGAGGGAGAGGGAACTGGGATCGACATGTAAAATAATATATTAAACTAAAAAAAAAAAATGCTTTGACTCCAAAATTTAAGTTGAAGGACAAGTTACTGGGGAAAAGGATTTCTATTTTTGTTTCCACAGAAAATGAAAAGATGTGGATTCCTTCCAGACTAATGTGGTTTGATCACGCCAGACCGCCTGAAACAGAGTACAAGCTGATCCTACATTCAAAACAGCTGGACAAAACAACCCTACAGACTACAGCCAGGATATCGGAATCTTCTTCGAATCCCCCAAGACAGCGCCCCTTACCAGCAGGAAGTAGTTTGGAAAGAACGACGCCCAAATTCCCAAATATTGTGTATAAATGTTTGTTTTCATTTAATTGGACTGTTATATAAAATTAAATAAAATTAAAAAAAAAACGCAAAAAGCATAAACAAATAAAAGACAGTCCTCAGATAGGTGTCAGATGCTTGTAATTCCAGCACTGGGGAAATGGAGGTGGGTGAGGCTCACTGGCCAGCCTATTTGTTAAGTTCCAGGCCAGAGAGATGCTATCTCAAAAATCAAGGGAAATGGGAGACGGGTATGGAAGAAATTAAGGGGGAAATGGAGGGTGAACATGTTAAAATGCATTGCATGACATTCTCAGGGTTAATAACAATATTATATTGACAAGGTAGATGATGCCTGAGAAATGATGTGCCCAACACTGTCCTCTGGCCTCTGCATGCAGTCACAGACATGTCCATGTGCACATGAATGCATAAGAATGACCCTAGACTTGGGGGGGGTCTGAAATACAGTTGAGGCTAAAAGGTCAAATAGTTCAAAGGGGTATTAGGTGAAAGCTCACATCGCAAGCCTCTTCCTCCTTCACAGAACTCCTCACATTGCCAGCTGGTATAATTTATATCTTAAATGTTCTGAGAGATTTCTAGTTGCTTGGTGGTAGCTTTAGGTGATGATCTGTAGAGCACAACACTGGGGGTACACTCTTGAATGGGATATTGTAACACTGCTCTAAACTCTCTGCTTCCTGGCTACCATGAGGTAAACAACTTCATTCTTCCAAGTGTTTCCTACCATGATATTCTGCCTCACCACAGAACCAAAAACAATAGGTCAACTCACCACAGACTGAAATCTCTGAAACAAAACAAAACAAAACAAAACAACAAAAAAAAAAAATGACAGTTTCATCTGTGAGAGTTTTTTTTTCAATGCATTTTATCATAGTAATAAAAATCTGACTAACAGCAGCCTAGCTCATAAATGCTCCCATACAATTTTCCCAGCAAGTCATACAATTTATCCTTAGGAAAAGTGACTACCCAAGAAAAAAGACCTATGGGCAGAAACAGGGAGGAGTCCCCACTGGCTTCTACCTAATCTACAGGGAACCCGGGATTTGACAAGCTTTGTTGACACATACAGAAAGCTTTTAATAGCTGTTTACTGCTTTTGCTTAAAAATAATAGTTGCTTACTAGAAATTTGTAGACAAAACAAACTTGAACTTATTGAAAACAGAATAATGTATCAGGAACAGAAGCAGCTTCAAAACCACTATAAATACCTTCAGAGTTATGAGAAATATGACACATATAAAACAAGAATGGGCAAATATTTTTTAAAGGCACATTTGGAGAATAGTGGTTCTCTGACATTAAAAATTACAGCAATAATAAAATCCAACAGAAGCACTGATAGATAAAATTCAGAAAGTTTCTTAGGAACTAGAGAGAAAGATAAAGGTGAATAGTAAAAATAGGAGAGGAGGAAGAAAGAAGAAATGGAAGTTAATTCTAAAAAAATTCGGCATCTGAATTTTAACTCAAGTACCAGGAAGAGACCACACAAAAATAGACCTGATAGACTGCAAAAAGTACATTTCTTTGGACTGAAGAAAGTTCCCAGCTGTAGGAGTACATTGTTTACGCAGTACAAAATAGATGTGTAAAAGGCTAACTAATGTACAATAGCACTAGTGTTTAGGATAATTCACAGAAAGACAAGGTCCAAATAGTTTTCATAGAAAATGAATCACAAAAAGACCAGTAATCAAATTGCATCAATTTTAAAATGGCTGTAAATGTAGAACAGATAAATATGAAACATTGAGGCATACAGTAGCTACACAATAAATAATTGCTGACTAAACCAACACAGTTTTACAAAGTATTAAATGATACCAGAAAAGAGCAAGTAAATTAAATTCTGTATAAGCATAATCTTTATTACTCAATACAGAACACAACAATTATGAATAAAAAATAAGTGGCTTAAAGATTGCTTCTGAAGGTAGGATTGTAAATAATTTTTATTCTTTTCAATTTTTTTCAAAATTGTCTAATGAGAATGCATTTATGTAGTTTTAAGTGATCCAAAATAGTAATAAGAACCAGGCATGACCTGTGTGTCTTGGTGGAAGAGGTAGGAAGACCAGAAGTCCAAGGATGACCTTGGTCATATATCAAATCCGTTCAAGGCCTGCCTGAGCCAGTTGAGACCTTGCCTCAAGAATACCACCATTATCAACAGAGAAAAAAAGAAAAAGAAAAAAAGCTAATAATGAACATAAAGCTATAAGCAATATCAAACACATTGTAAGTATGCATATCCTTAGTATTTTTCCTTCCCCCACCTTCATGTTTACCTTAGTCCAGAGTCACTACCACTCACATCGAGATCGAGTTCTTGGGGTTTATTAAATTTTTTATCAGTAACCAGTTCTCGAGACTTAAATATAGCTTGAGTCCTTAACCTGTAAAAATAAATTTAAGAATTTTTAATCCCCAAAGCACCGACAGGCTCAATACACACACACACACACACACACACACACACACACACACACACACACACACACAGAGTCTCACACAGTCTCTCTCTCTCACACATACACACACACACACCCTAAACACAAATTAAGTAAGCCCATCAGTTTATAGGACTTTAGATTTTCTTTAGAGCATGTGGGAAGATTGAGCTGTTAGAATGTAATTTCAAAACTCAGAATTGTAAATGTTTTTGGAGTACTTTATGTTTCAATTCTAAAAGGTAAAAGCTTCCATCTATTCACCGCTCAGTGTTTTGCTCATTGTGTTAGTTACTGTTATAGTTGCTGTGAAAAAGCATTAGACAAAAAAAGCCTGAGAAAGTAAAGGTTTGTTTTGGCTCACAATTTGATGGTATAGTCAATCACAATGGGAAGGACCTGAAAGTAAGAGCTTGAGGCAGCTGGCCACATTGCATTTCTCATCAGGAAGCAGAAGGAGATGAATGCCAGACCAGCTAGCCTTCCCCTTCTTATGTAATCTAGGACCTGAGCTCAGAGAACCAGGTACCCACACATAGAGTTAGGTCTTCTTACCTCAATCCACCTAACCAGGATAATCCTTCACAGTCATGCCTCGAGGCTTGTTTTATGTGATTCTAGATCCTGCCAACTCAACAATCAACATTAGCTGTCACAATTCTCATTGCTGTTACAAAAATACCTGAGTAAGAAAATTAATGGAGGAAGGATTTATTGGACTCATGGTTTCTGAAGTTTTATCTTATGGTAGGTTGGCTCTATTTTTGTGAGCCTGGGGTGAGGCAGAAGAGCATAGCAGAGGAAAGCTGTTCACTTCATGTTAGCCTGGAATCAGAGAGGGCCAGGAAATACCCAGCAAAGGGCCACATTGGTGAGCTATCCCTCCAAGCAGGCCTGCCTTGTAGATTTTTACCAAGTCATAATAATGCCACAAATTATGAATTATCAATTATTTGATTAGACCAGTGCCTTCATGAGCCAATCATTTCCCTTAAACTCCATCTCTGAACATTGCACTTGTGACCGAGCCTTCAACATATGGGCCTTTTGAGGAAACACTTTAAATAGAAGCCATTTAAGTTACCCAGGTCTAAAGAAAGACTCTTGTAATTCTCAAGTATTATTGACTCTGTAAAACATAAATTTAGGAGGTATCCAACTTCTCATGTTGACATTTCAAAGAGCTGGGAAAACAGTGACAATGTATTTTCTTTAGACCACAGACAAAAATAGAACTAGGTGTCCTGGTTAATTTCTTTTGTCAATTTGACATAAGCTACAGTCATGTGGGAAAAGGGAACCTCCATTGAGAATGTCCCTGACCAGACTGGCGTGTGGTTACTTTCTTGATTAATGATTGACATGAAGGGTTCAGCATTCTATGGCTAGTTCCCCTCAACCTGGTGATCCTTGGTGCTACAAGAGGGCAGGGAAGATCAAGGCAGATAATGAGCAAGCAGGGTTCCTCCATGGGTTCTGCTTTGGTTCCTGCCTAGCTTAGTTCTTGCCCTGACTTCTATGAGTAATGTACTATTACCTGGAAATGTAAGATAAAATAAACCCTTTCATCCCAACTTGCTTTTTTTTGTTCATGGTGTTTTATCACAACAATAGAAAACCTAAGACATGGTATATACTGAGATTAAGACCATATTCATATGTACTGAGAAGGGAAGGCTGTTGAAAATATCAGTACAAAAACCTTCTGTCTACAGTTTAGGGATCAATCACTGACAACAAATATGTGATACTTAACACCCATTCTTTCAGTTTTTCAGAAAATGTCTTCTGGTAATATGTACAAGCATATTCTTTAACTATGAAATAAAAGCCAGTAGGTGGTGATACCAGCATGTGGGAGGCAGAATCAGGTGGATCTCTGAAAGTTTGAGGTCAGCCTGGTCTACAAAGCAAGTTCCAGGACAGTCGGAGCTGTTACATAGAGAAAGCCTGTCTCCAAAAAATAAACAAACAAACAAACAAAAACAAACAAACAACCAGACAAGAAAACAAAGAAACAAAGAGAAGCTATTAACTAAAACTATAAAGTGTTCGTACAAGAAACATGAACATAGTATTCATCACCATCAAAAGACATTCTTTTAGTTGTAACTACACATGGTGATGTACAAAGAGATGGAATTTACAGTATTATTATTTTGTAGTGACATGCAAGTTGTTAGTAAATGCAGGTGTAAAATGTTAAAATCAAGCAATTATGATAAAAGAGTAAGAAAAACAGTAATAACAGCAGTCAGAATAGCTTCTGCAGCAACAGTAGAAATGATAATGTTGATGATAATAGTATCAGCCACTTATGGAACGTTTCTTACATACATTATTGTACTGATCCACACAGAGGCCCTGGAAGTAATTACTTTACTATATGTATTTACGGAGGAAAGTGGAGCAGGCCTGGGCATAATACTTACCCAAGGCGATATGTTTTTCTGTTTCTTTGTCTTGTTTTTATTTTTGTTTTTTGGAGTTTTTGAGTCAGGGTTTCTTTGTGTAGCTTTGTAGACCAGGCTGGCTTCAAACTCAGAGATCCATCCTGAGTGCTGGGATTAAAGGTGTGTGCCACCACCACCACCAGGCCAAGGTGGAATGTTTGTAAGTGGTGAAGGTGGTACACTTTTCATAGCTACATATACAGTATGTATATTATAGATGCCAGAGACAAAGACAAATATTACAAACAGCTTTGACTTTACTCATTACAAATGCACTACTTTACTCTTACTCCCAAGGGAATTCATGGTTGTTCTTGGCACTGCAATCAACTGTATTCTTTATAAATCTTTGGGCAAGACTTTCTGAAAGCACTGACTATGTAATCTCAAGGTGGCAGAATCAATTACAAATCAGAATTTAGGTAAGTGTTAGTGTCTTCCCAAATTCATTTGGGGAAAGTCTCATCCCCAAACTCTGAACAACTTTACTTTAATTCTATGCTACTCATTTGGTATTTGATTACCTTTCCAATACATTTCCTGAATATTCTAAGCATCATAAATAATGCCACATGCATAGTAAGAATTAACTTATTACTGTAATTGAAGTCAGTTACTTGTCCACTTAAATTACAAATTCAGTAAAAATATACATTAGTTTATATTATGCATGAATTAGTGTATGAGACTGTACAACACTAAAAGAGAACAGGTCTTATTCAACTAGGTATTCCTCCCACATAATTTGGGCAGAAATACTTTTCTGAAACAGTGAAAATTGAGCTGAATTATAGACGACTATACAATACAAAATATACTATAGTGCTCTTTTGTATATATCCCCTAACTTAAAGAGCTAGTGAGAAAGAATCCAAACCTAAAATTAATGAAGGTGTAGATAATTTGAAAAGGAAAGCAAAACATTTAAACCAAAGGAGAAGGTATGACTTCAGAAAGAACTATGAGTAGTATATGGAAAAGAGCTACAACAAGACAAATTTTAAGAAAAAAAAATTCTTAGGAAAAATGGGCAAATGGGTACAGAGATGTTGACAAATTATAGAAAGCTTTCCAAACTAGGATGATAGGTACTATCTAATCTAGAAAAAAAAATGTAACCCATTTTAGAATTCAGAAGTGGAAAATAAAAGCACTGTATTAGGAGAGTTCATTTACCACAGACATTTTTGGTTCATGACACTACTGGGCAGACTTTCAGATATCTCTTAAGTGATAGAACTTCATGAATCTAAAAAGTAGGCCAGAGAGTGGACTGATTTTCAGCCTAGAAATGTGAACTGAGATACTGATTAAACAGATAAATCATGACCCTGATTTCTGCTCTGTTCCAGCTAACCATGGGTGATCAGAGGATTTCCATAGTAGAAAAGCAGGAGGAGAGACCCTCCTCTAGTTAAAAACATCTCCAGCCAGGTGTAGTGAAAGCTGTCACCTCAGCACTTGGGAGCAGGCAGCAGAAAACATCTAGCTTGGACCACAGAGGCAGAATCTGTCTCAAAAGCCTCCATCCCATTATCTTAACTGACTCTTTATCTGGGCACCTCACTTGAAGCTTCCAATGTCTTGACCTGGGAGAATTTTATTTTATAGTAAGAGCTACAAACAACAAATGAAATGACAGAACTGTGATGGCTAAGACTCATGGAACCCAAAGGCCTTTAATGGATGCCTAAGACACCAAAAGCCTGAAGATAGACAGTACTGTGATTGGGTGTTGTTTCATGGCTTGTATGTATTTACTTTGCAAGTCCTGATCAACAGGATTGAAAATACCCTAGTGTTAAACACTAATGATTTTCTAAGAGTACAGATAGCAACTACCTAGGGTAATACTCATCCCTGAAAGAGAATCGATTAAATAAATCATTTGATAATCTGAGGACTGTAATTCTCAATACAGGAAATAAATGCAGTCAGCTTAAAAAGAAAATTAGGATAGAGAGAATGAATCCATGAGGGAGCTCATGTAGAGTTTTCCTTAGAGTTTAAGGAATGGAAGGCGAGAAGCCCTCTTTAGAGTTTTTGGTCAGGACTGTCTAAAAGACTCTAGAAACATACAGCCATTGCTGTTTCCCTTGAGTGTCCCCCAAAGGCAATTTCCTATTACTCAAGAAACCATGCACATCAGAAATATGGTTCAGAGGCTCTAGAGCTGGGGTTGACCTGAAAGCCTCTTCCCTAAGGGCATTGATGGTGCCAGAAAGTGCCAGTAAGCTTCCAAAGGAGGGAGGCAACCAACAGTCCTACCCAGCTGTGATGCCTGTGAGTCTCCCTGCTGACTTCAAAGCAAACAAAGACAAGACAGGTTGGCCATTAGTAGACAGGTGCAGAGGAAGGATGTGCATTTCAAGGATTCTGTTTTTGTCTGCACACTTAAAATACTAGAATACTGCTGACCTAGAAACCTCAAAAGCATGGAGGAAAAAAGCCTCCCCCATTTAGTCAAAGAAGTAGAAGGCTTTTAAGCAGTAAAACTACTTCATTGTTCTATTCTAGCTAACCACAGCAGCACATGATGGCATCACTTGCCCTGTTCCCACCAGCAAAGGTGGAGTGGAAGCCAGACTTTTATTTTCTATGGGCTCTCATGAGGCAGCCAAGCCCTCTGTCATAGCAGTATTAGAGAAGGTATCCTACAGAGAAAGATTTAAGCAACACCCCGTGACTTAGGCTACAAACTAAATGCCCAGGACAAAGATGAAAACCATTCATCATATCAATAATAATAATAATAAAGATGGCAAAAAATATCTAACGAGAATGAATATTAGAGCAGGCATTACAAAAATGCTTCAAAGAACAAGTCTGAATACTCTTAAAAGAAACTGAAAGACAGAAAAATCTTTAAAAAGAACCAGAAGACAAATAAAAACCAGGCAGAAACTGTACTTCAGAAACATGCTCACCCCATAAGAAAAAAAAATCATCAGCAAAACTGGGAAGAAAACAAACCCAACTAGGTTATTGTTAATAATAGACTAATTGGCCAAAAAGGAGAGTCAGACACTTGACTACAGCACAAGAGAAACAACAGTGCAAATAAAAGCAGCAGAAACTCCTGGCATCAGATTGCTGGGACCATAACAAAAACTTTGTATTTATGTCCATGACATTAAGAGAAGAACATGGATGGGGCTCAAAAAGTGATAACCCCTCAAAAATAGTTTAAGAACCCCCTAAATACTACAATCTTTGTAGTGACAATATGGCTTTGTGTTTTTCTTGTGGTGGTGATATTAGCAAACTAGACATTCAATAAAATGGCAGCAGATAATCACACACACTGTACTGATGCTAAGTCACTGGTTTACTTGTGGAACATATAGCCACTGGTGAAGTTCATATGGAAGGTCTTTGTAATATTTTTAAAACTACTCATGAACCTACAATTATTTCAAAATAAAGTTTAAAAGTAAATATGAATATGTATACTCTAAAAATGCATACGCATACAAGGTTTTTCTCAAAATTCCCATTTCTTAGGTCTTTCTTTTTTAAACTAAGCTAGAATTATAGAGATGAGTGTATCTAATAAGAATCTAGAGAGAAGAATGGTGAACAAGAAGGCAACAAGCAAGGAAGGAAAATCTTCAATTTGTTGTGTTTTTAAAAGAATATAAATGTCACATTTTAGAATTTCAAATAATATCTGATTTACTACTACTTTTCTTAAACAGTAAACTTTATGCATCTGAATGTAAAACCATACAGAACAGTATGTAACATTAAAAGAGCAATTCCTCTTTCGAAACACTGCTCGAAGGAGGTAAATATTAAGGGAAGAACAATGAGAGTGAGGCTATCTCTTAGTGACAGAACACTAGCCTAACATCCCCAAGGCCCTGTGATTGGACCCGGCATCAATAAAAATAAAAAATAACAAGGAAGGTACAGAGCAAATATGATCAACGCCCACATGTACTTGAATAAAAATGTCCTTATGTCATGTACTACTGCATGCTATGAAATATACATAATGAAAACTTAAAAATTTACTTCAGAAAATAATTTTTAATAGAAAAAGAAGAAAGTGTAAACGTGGGTATGTTCATTAGAGCTAGTTATAAAGTTATAAGACTATGTTCAGGATTAGTAAGGATTAAATTTAAATGGGTCTCATGGTTTATTTAATTTTATACGATGACAGAAAGACATGTATGTAGGATAATGACAGCTAAGCACACTTCTTTATAATTTGATTCTACACTCTTAAATAATTTAAGATTTAACTTAATGTCTAACTCTCCATCGTGACATCAAATAGCAAAGCATATGACATTTGAAGTCTCATAAAAGTTAGCAATGGAACTTGGGAGATAGTTCTGTGGATAAAAAACTTGCTGTGCAAGGAAGAGGACTTGAGTTCAAATCCCCAGATAGGCATGATTACATGTGCTTGTAACCCTAGCATTGAGGCTGTTTAGACAGGTGGATCCCAGAAGCTCAATGTACATCCAGCCTAGTTGCAACGGTGAACTTCTGACTTAATAGAGACTCTGTCTTGAAGAAGTAAGGTAGAGAATTACAGATAAAGACACCCGAAGTCCTCGTCTGGCCTCCACATGTGTGTTATAGGCACAAGCACCCATGTACATACTTGCATGCATATCTTCCATATAAGACAGAGGTTTACTTGCAGTCATAGTTGGTAAATACTCCAATAAGCCATGATGCTAAAGAACCTTTGTGAACTGAGGTCTGTATAAACCAGTGTTTGAAACTGTATTTTCCAACCTACAGACAGTGCTGAAAGAAGAGGCAAGACTCACCAGTTGTAATCCAGCCGGGATTTGGTGCAGCTGCTGCTGTTTGAGGAGAAGCTTTGTCTCTTGCTGGGCCAAAAGATGCTGAAGGCGTTCCTTTTCAATTTCTAGTTCCATTTTCTGAAGCATCAATTGTTGCCTCCGATCTTCTGAGAGTTGCTTTTTGGCATCAGTTTCACTGGGTTGCAGTGTCACTCTACCTTGCATGTGGGCCCAGGAAAGCCCACAATGACTGCATGATTCCGGATGTGTCTTACAATACTGAGGGGCCATGTTTGCAGGCTGGTAGTTCTCATGAACATAATTTTCACTTTCAGAGCATTTATGACCACAGTGATGACTTGATGGAGTGTGTGGAAGGTGTGGGTATTCCTTTATCTTCAACTCCTCTGAGGGTAGGACTTTCTCTATTGGGGCTGCATCTATTGGTTTCCTCCCTGGAGATTCAGAAGCACCTGTTCTGGTTTCTGATGACATCCTCTCTAAACCCTCTTTCTGATGATGAAGAATTATTGGTTTCAAAGAATTATTCCTCAATGCCGTTAGCGATTCTGAAACTGAGACCTGGGTTGCTGACTTAGGCCTTGCCTTGGTCTGACAGTAGATTTGTGGTTTGGCTACACTCAAGTAGGAACCATCCAGGTCCATCAACGAAGACTGGTGAGTACTTTTCCTATTGGTTATCTAAGAAGAAACACAGAAAAAAACTTCTGGTTTTTGTTTTTCAAAAATCATTGATATATGTTCACTAAAACAAAACTCTTATTTCCTTTTCTTAAATATTACAGTATCCACATTGCTAATGTTCCTCAAAGCCACATCCATTTCAAACAACCTTTATTTCAGCTCATCTATAGGGGATGAAGAAAGATCCAACATTAATATATGCTGTTTTTGAAAATCTTTGGTGATTTTAGGAGTTGCAAGTACTTAAGGTTACATAAAATCAACTTTAAGATGCAAACACATTAAATATTAAATCTGAAAATGTTGCTTTGCATATTGAGCCAAGAAATCCATACAGTTACCTTAAATATTCTTTGATTAGCCATTACACAGAACAAGATTTGATGTAAAACATTTCACATTATTCTGAATAGCTACTGCTAGATGAGTTTTTATAAATATATTTAGAGAACACAGTTAAAACCAACTACTTTCAACATATGTAATTCTAGTAAAAAGCAATTATTTAAATATAAAGTATTTAATTTCAGCTACAAGCATAAGTGATTTTTCAATTAAACCATTCAGGGTTACAGTCTAATAGAACTCAGGCAGAAAGGCAGTGGCTGTAAATTTGAACTGCCAGGTGAGGAGTAAGTTTCCCAGAATCCTCTGTTCTATCGGGAGAGGAAAAGTTTGTCTATGTCAATTATTCTCAAACTTGAGATGGCATGAGAGTTACCTGAAGGACTTGTAAGTATGAGAGGCTAGTTTCAGCCACAGAGTTTACCACTCTGCTCAAAATGGCCAGCTCATCTGCATCTCTAAGAGGATTTCAGGTGATGCTGATGTTGATTTTGGACCAGGTTTTAAAATTTCTAGTCTAGACTACAAAATTTGTGTACCTTGGTCTTAGAAAAACTGAGTGGGCACTAGTTCAACTCTGAACATCTTTGATTTACTGTAAGTAAGCAGGTTTTCCTCTCAGTGGCTTTCAGAAACATGGCATATCTAAATTCTAGGCTGCTCAAATTGAAATATTTTAGTTTCATGCAAATGCTGAGTATACTACAGATAAGCAGCTTGTTCATGAAGATGAATACTTAGGATTTAACAAAACCTTAATAAAGTTAATGCAGAAGAAGACTAATTTAGTGAAATTGATAGGGAAGAGTATAATGCTGAAATAAGTTCAATGAAGTTTAGACTTCCGAGGACACAATCTTCTACAGCCAAAACCCTCCCATCAACTTAGACATTAGGCATTACATATGAGAGCTACCAAGTCCCAATTACTTAACTACAAAGATGGGTTCTTAAAAAGCATTGTCATTCCTAGTAGTGTAGATTCCTTTGGGAAGCCGGAGTATAACCTTTAGCACAAAGGCCGAAAGGCACAAATCATTACCTCTGGAGAACCACAATCCCCAACACAGACTTCACTGAAAGAGAAGTCAAGAGAACACTAAGTAGATGTAAATGAGAAAGATGTTTGAAATATTCTTTATAGCTTCCACTCACATCTTTCTCTTGCCTCTGGCTTTCATTTTCATTTACTTTGTTGCCATTTCCTATCTGTATTCAAGAAGGTCCAGAAAGTCATTAATAGCACTGAATAGTACTACTAACCAAACAAGCAAACAATCTTAAATCATGTTGTCTAGATCAGCAGCTTTCTGGTTATTCCATTTTGTCTAGAGAAGCTGTTTTGTCCCCAGTTACTCAATGCTGGGTACAAATACTGAGACAGAATGACTTGTTCATAAATAATTACCATCTGTCTAGCATGATAAAGCATAGCCTGATGAGGGACTTATTCATGCTTTTAAAAAATTACCACCTTTAAGCTTATTGGACACACCAAAGCAATGAATGAAGAAGCAGCTAAACATCTGAACACGCGAGAACCATCTCAGCCTGGAAAATGGCACACCAACTTTGCACATATCATGGGCCACTCCTTAGGAGATTGCCAGTGGACATACTTCCAATTGTGCCTTGACTTGGCTTATCCAGATCCTTACTGTCATTAATATCACTAACTTCAAAGTTGCCCAGTTCTCTCAACCAAGTATTTTTGAGATCTGTTCTCAGCCCAGAATCTGCCCACCTGAAATGGCGCTCTGACTGGTACCAACGTAGCATCTACTACCTGTTAGTTCCTATACACTCATTTCTAACTTTCTGTCACCTATATGTACTTGATTGAAGTGTGATGTACCATTCAGGTGCCAGATATTATCAGAATGGAATGGAATGTTTCCATGATTATGACTCCAAAGCAAAGTATAAGTACTTGGTAAAGGTGAATCTATTAACACTCAATATATTCTGACACCATAGAAAGACACAAAGGTGTTTGTATATGCTAATAACATAGTTTGCTAATAATACATCCACTGAAGTAATTTTTCACTTTTCATGGAAAATTATTTGCACGCTGAGGCAACTTATTTGCTAAAGGTTTTTGAGGGAAATAACCCTTTCAGAGTAAACGAATAAGTTACAATTTTTACATTCATTTCCTAATGCCACTATAGTGAATTACTACAAAATTTGCACTGAATGACAATACAAATATCTTCCCTGAAGATTGTGGAGGTCAGAAATTAGAAATCTAACTTACTGGGCTCAAATTCACGTTTTGGTAGGGCTTGTTCTTTTGGGAAGCCCAGAGGTGAGAATATATTTCCTTTTTTTAAGCTTCTAGTGGCCATATATGTTCCTTGGTTTGTGGTCTCTCCTCCATCTTCAAAGAGCATCACTCCAGCTTCTGCTTCCAACATCATAGTGTCCTGTGCTCCGCTTTCTTTCTTACTTTTTTTTTTTTTTTTTTTTTTTTTTTTGGACTATAGAGGACACCTATCCAGGCAATACACGGTGATTTCCCCACCTCCTAATCTTTAGTTTAATCACATATGCAAAGCCCTTTTGTTCATAAGTTCCATTTAGCCATATAAATTGATATTCATGGGTTGCAGGATTTAGGGCAGATGTACGTGTGTGTGTGTGTGTGTGTGTGTGTGTGTGTGTGTATGCACATGCATGTGTGAGTGTGCTTGTATTGAGTTTACACATATTTTTAAATGTACTAATTCACAAACAGTTTAGATAGTTATCTAAACAGAATGAATTTTGAGATCTCTGGCAGCAGAATCAAACATCTCCCCAATTTACAAGAGTTGAAAAATGATGGATATTCAACAACCTCTGATACAAATGGCTACACACACATACACAAACACACACACACACCCGTGCATGTAACATTTGGAGTTACACATACTACATTCTCAATAAGCATGTTTTGACTGCATCACGTTATTGGAAAAATTCAAATTGAGTTATGGGCTAGTAAATGAAAGAAAATTAGAATCTTAGCACTTGATGGGAAAAGCTGAAGAATCACAAAGCCAATATGGGCTCTGTAGCAGGTTCTAAACCAACCTGGCCTATGTAGAAAGACTGTCTCAAGAGGAGAGAGAGAGAGAGAGAGAGAGAGAGAGAGAGAGAGAGAGAGAGAGAGAGAGGGAGAGAGAGAGATAGATAGATCTAAGATTAGGCTAAATCATGTGTTACCAAGAGAAAAAAGAAAATAAATATAAATCAAACTTTCTAAAAGGTTCTAAGTATAAAATTCAGCTGCTTTAATAGTGGAGTTAAAGATATCTAACACTTTGGGACCCATGCAAATAACAATAGACCCGAATGAAAAGATGTGTTTTTCTTTCTAGAGTAGCTCCATGCTCTTATATGCGGCATTAACAAACACAAATTCATTCAATGAAGGCTTAAAATAACAACAACAAAAATCTGAATTGTGTTTGTGGCATATGGGTATTTAAAACCCTTCATTGCATTTTTTTACTTAATGCCTGTATGTACATGTACATGTGTGCATAAGCACACAGCTATCATGATGTTCACATAGTGGTCAGAGAATAATTTATGGAAGTTGGTTCTTTCCTTTAACCATACAGGTCCTGAGGATTAAACTAAGCTTTTCAGGCTTGGTAGCCAGCACCTTTACCCCATGGAGCATCTCTCTAGCCTGCATATGGGTTTAATAGGAAACTTTCAGATAAATAATACAAACACTGAAAGCACAGCTTAAGTGTATGGTTTAATGAAATTGCACATTTGTTTACATGGATGTAACTATTTCCCTGGTCAAGTTACAGAACACCTCAATCACCCACAAGTTTCCTTTTATGCTTTCTGATCTATGCTAATCAGTTATACCTTTATTCATTTAAGCTACAGTAAATCAACATTCATTTTTTTTTATCACTACATCATATTTTGTTATGTGGCTATGGCACAATTTATTTTTATCTTATTAATGTGGGAACTCATTTAGAGCTCTTATAAAGCTGCCAGAGTTCTTATATAAGTATTTAAAAATATTTTTTTATTTCTTGAAATTTAAATATAATTACATCATTTTTCCCATTCCATCCCATTTATTTTCTTCACACACAAACCTGAGCAGTTCATTTAATATTATCTGTATATATATGATATCAGGAATATCAGGGCTGGTATTGAATAACCAATTCCCTGAGGAAGAATATTTTTCCCACTCAGCATTTTTGTAGAGGTTTTATTTTATTTTTTATCTAGGGTTTGGGACCCCATGAGATTTCTCTCATCCATGTTAGCATGTCTATTGATTTCATCTTTGCTCAAGTCTTGTTTAGGCAGCTGAGTTGGTGAGATGCTATGGGTATCTTCTGACATTTCTAGGAGATGCAATCTCACAAAAATCTTCTCATTCTCTGTCTGGCTCTTATTTTTTTTTTATGGCCCCTCATCCTCTATAATTCCCGAGTCTTAGATATAAGGGCTGTGTTGTAGATGTATCAGCTGTGGTCTGGCACATGGCTACTTGTTTTCTGTATTTTGATTGGTTGTGGTTTTCTTTAATTGTCGCTGTCTGCAAATTTTTCTTTAGAGCTGAGTAATATTCCAGTGTATATGTATCACACCTTCATTATCTACTTGTCAGTTGAAGGACA